CAAATTGAAGCTCGAATGGTGTAAATCCAGTTGTTCTTTTTGTTGATATGTGGTCAGCTAAGGTGACCAAAGGCAAATACTCCTTCCATTTTGTACCGCTCTCCCCCAAATTTTTATGAGTGCGTCTTTGATGCTCTTGTGACCCCTTTCCACCATTCCTTGTGCCTCCGGGTAGTATGGTGTTACTGTTCTAAGTTTAGTTCCAATTTTCTTCATTGCATTCTGTAATTCCTTCTTAAATTCTGCGCCTCCGTCCACCGTGACTTCTTTTGGTATTCCGTAACGACAAATCCATTCAGATACAAACCAGTCTGCGACGGACTTTGATTTTAAATTTGTCAAGGCAGTTGTTTCCGCCCAGCCAGAAAAGTCGTCCCTTGCTACTATAATATACTTCCATCTTCCTGCTTTTACGTGTACTGCGTCCATGCTGACTCTTTCGAACAAGGTTGAAGTCGATGTTGCTTGGCCTACTTCTTTTGGCAAGTTTTTACTTCTCTTTTGGCATGCCTCACATGATTGTACCCATTTCCTGACCGCCTTTTTCATCCCTTCCCACCAAAATCTGATCTTGATCCTCCTATACGTCTCCGCCATTCCCCGGTGTCCAAGTTCCTCGTGTAAAGCTTTCATAACTTTTTCTTGATTTTTGTACAATGACACAACTGTCTGTGCAAACGGTAGAGCTCTCTTTTTCAGCTGATTGTCCTCCAAAAAGTAGCTGTGTGCCCGTCTCTTGATTTTCTGGTAATCCCGGTCTGAGCAGCCTGGTGGTCGCTTTAGTTCCCGCAGATATTTTTCTATTCCTTCCCATATTCCGCACTGGGAGTTGTTCAGATCCGTGATTTTAATCATTGATACGGAGAGAGGTTTCACTCCAAGTCCGGGGTGCGGCCTTATCCATTCTTCGTCTTCATTAAAATCCTTTCCTTCTTCTCCTTTATCCAACGGTCTTCGTGATAAACTATCGGGCATTGTAAAGCTCTTCCCTGGTTTGTGTACCAAGTCAAATGAGAACAGCTGGATAAAAGCTACCCATCTTGTCATTGGAGCACATGGAAGACTAGGTGTGTTGATCATTTCTATTAGGGCTTTCGCGTCTACTTGAAGTTCAAAATGCTGCCCCCAAAGAATAGTTTGTAATTTCTTCAATATTTTTGTGACTCCACATAATTCCAGCTTGGATTGAGCGTAGTCGGATTCGGTTTTCGAGAAACCCACGGATTCATAAAGAACTGGTCTGTCTTTTCCTTCTTTATCTTGCTGCATGAGAACTGCCCCTGCCGCAATGTAGCTGGAATCCACCGCCAATGATATTTTTCCTGCTCCCTTCTCATAGTCCAGCTTTTGTAGGACTATTTCTTCCCCAATTATTTTCTTTAGTTTGTTAAAGGCTTCTTCACAACTTTCACTCTAATTAACGTCCGCGTCTAGATGAGTTAGTCGCCTAAGTGGTGAGGCAAGAGCTGAAAAATTCTGGATGAACATCCTAACGTATACACATATCCCTAGAAAGCTCCTAACGTCTTTCTTATTCAATGGCGTAGGCCAGCTTTGGATTTTATTTATCTTTTTCTTTGCCACTAATCGGCCTTCTTTGGATACGACATGTCCTACGATGTCCAATGCTGGTACGCAGCAAGCAAACTTCTCTCCTGATATCGTGAGTCCCGCTTCCTCTATGCGAAACAATACCCGCTCCAGGGTTATGGCGTATTCCCACACAAATCTTCTAATCCTAGGGTTCTCTTTGAGTGGTTCGTTGTTATAAGTAGATCGGGGTCCTTTTATTCCTCCATCGTCTATAAAAATTCCTACATGTTCTGGTATTTCTTCCTGCAGAATCCATGTCATCTGGGCTTGATACACTGCGACAGAATTTGTTGCGCCTTGCGGAAGCCGAGTTAAGTGAAGCCGTCCCAAGACTGTCTCAAAAGTAGTTAATGGCCTTGAAGCTGGTGCCAGTTCCCGCTCGTCATACCCCCCCATGATATCTCCCAATCCATAGCACGCGCGTCCAGAGAAAGACTCCACAAATTCTTCTATTTTAGGGGGTAACCCCGCATCTTTTATAGTTACTTTGTTTAGTGGTTGCAAGTCGTGGACTATCCTTAATTTTCCATTTGATTTTGTAACACAAAATACCGGACTTGAGTAGCTAGATGTTGATTGTTCGTACAACCCAGTCTTTATCCTTTTTCTTACTAAGTCCACAAATTCCGGTAATATGGGTTTTGGTATAGGGATTGGCCTCTTTTGCCATGGCTCGTGCGCCACCACCGGTATTTGGTATGGTTCCCCATAGCTATGCTTGAGTATTCCCCGTTCTTCCTCACAGAAGGCAATGGATTTTTCCCGCAGGATAATGACATATTTTAATAGATTTAATTCTTCTGTTGAAAGCCAATTAGGTGGGCCGAAGTTCACTGCTCCTAGTCTTTCCTCTGTAACTCTCTGTGTTGGCAATAATCCTGGCGGGTGAGGTGTTAATGGTGTCTCATACGGGTCTCTTGATAGCGGTGGTCTTTGGAGAGGGGGATTAATATCTTGTGGCATTGGTTGATTGATTGGCCTAATTTTCTTGTCTACTGTCTTGTATTTTGCTGCATGAGCTGCAAATTCCTCCATTTTGTTTTCTTTTCTTTTTTTTTCCTGTTTGTTTCCTGAGTTCTGTAGTTATAATTTGCAAGTCTTTTAGTATGAGTGGGGTGATGGTTGGTGAGCTTGAACTGCAGTTTTTGGTCTTACTGGACCATTTGTGACATATTGGTAAGCTCAGGATGTGTTTCCTGTACCCCCCTCCCAAGTTGAATTTAAGACCCAGTCTTGGCCCTCGCGCGCCGCGCTCAGAATTTGCCGAGGATGTCACTTTACCCGTGAACCTCTATGCTTTTATCACTCGACCCTTCCTCCGCCCGATGCCGGAGGTATCAATCACTCCCCAACATCACATCACCCCGCCGCAACCGTACATCGATCCTTCCAACAACCCTGCAAGCGATCGACCCTCCACCTTGCAACAGTCAGGCCTTCACCTGCAATATGAATCCCTTCACCCGGCCTCCACTTGACCGTTTCCCTGGCCGCCTTTCCCATCTCTGCTGGTCCGCCGACGATCCCTTTGTTCTGCAGCTCCCAACGTATTGTTCCAACCGACTCTGCCAATTCTTATTAGCCAGCCTTTTTCGCCACCCTGTCAGCCTACAGCTTGTTTCCAGGCATCGCACCTCCGTCCCCTTTGTTATTTGCTTTCTGCTGCCTCTTCTCGCCCGACGTTCCCACCCACTAGACGCCGTTTTTGCGTCACTTATTCGATCCTTTGTTTAACAGTTCCGGTACCGTTCCAACGCTTCGGCATCGCTCTTGCGTCCCTTTGTAGCGTTTTTCTTTGGCCGGTTGCTTGCTACCTCTTCTACTTCTCTGCCTTCTCGGTCCTCATCCCCTCGTCTATAAAAGGCCGACCATTGATAGCTGTAAGTCGTTTTCTCACCCATCCGTTTAGCCCAACAACGCCAGCTCTAGTACAAGCACTATGGCTGACAACCCTTCTCCTCTCGCTCCTTATTCTACTGGCCAGGAGATCGTGTTGATCTCGTCCGATACTGAGTCCACTCTGTCGGAAGGCGAGATTGTAGATGAGATGTCTGAGGACGACGCAACAGCGGACGGCTCCTAGGCTGATGGCCGTTCCCTTTCGGATCAAGCTGACCCATACTCTTATCATGAAAACTATACCTTGAATGCTGCATTTGACACCGTTTTTTTTTATTTAATTCTTTAATTTTTCACTCAATTGTTTGCATTAATTTCTTTATCTTATTTTTTATGATTTTTTGAAATTTTAAAGCCGTTTCCTACATTTAAAAGTGTTCAGAATTTAATGGTAACATTCAATTTCCATAAAACTCAGCGGTTCATTCTGAATACTGTAATTAGTCATATTTTTCAATTGATTTTTAAGAGCTTAATTTTCATTATTTTTTGACATTTTAAATTTGTTTCCTACACTTTCAGACATTTTAAAAATGATGGAAAAAATCAATTTGCATCAAAATAAAAACTGTATCTTGAATAATGCCTTTGACGTGTTTTTTTAATTAATTCTTACACGCTTAATTATCCTTATTTTTTTGGAATTTTAAGCTCATTTCCTACAATTTGAAAGGTTTTAAAATTGATGGATGTATTCATTTTTCAGTCAAATACAGTTTGTATACGGTACAAATTATGCAAGAAACGGTGCACACTCTCGTATTATAGCTGAAGCTTTGAGTTTGAGGGAAATTGGACTTCACCATTAACTTCTACACATTAATAAAGAGATAGGAAATAAATTTAAAATTCCAGAGTCGCTCCCAAACCCGGTTTCCTCGAGATTTGGAGTCGATCCCCAATCGCTCAGTGGGTTCAGAGTCGTCGAGCGTACAGATAATACAAGAGAAGATCTCTCAGACGTGAGGGTGTAGATCTCCACGGCTGAGAGT